ACCTGGAAGCTGGCACAGCTGAGGGGCAGTCGGCTTCCTGCCCCAAACAGGGACTCGTTTCCACCCCTCGCTGTCTTTGAGGTCGCCCCTTCCCACCTGGCTGTGAGAGGGCAGACGATCGCGTTGCTTAAGGAGCATCTCCCAGCACCCTTCCCGCAGGGATGGCAGACTTCGACTCCGCCGGTGGATCCCCATCCCACAATCCCGGAGCTCCTCAGCCTTCCTGCTTCCTCCTTCAGCTCTCCCACCATGCTGAGCAGACCACCCAGCGGCTGACACGGCACACAGCCGGGACCCCTGCTGCAGCAGCGACAGGGCCGGGCGTTCCCTGCAGCCTGAGCCCCGAACTGCAGCACGGACATTCGTGCTTTCGGTCTGAGCCTCCACGTCCCTTTAGCAGCAGCTCGCGGCCGCGCGGTGACCACGGCTGCACCTCGGCGTGTCCAGGGAGCAACGAGCTGCTAAAGGCCCTGTTAGCAGCTGAGCGCTGAGCCCCCGGCCATACGGCAAGGTGCCCCGCCCTGCCTGCTCGCTGATTCGTTCGGGGTTTGCGCTGAAAGTCGCAAATCACAGCGACTCAACACCCAGCGCCCCGCGCGTCCGCGCTCACGGGGGGCGCACGGCGCCCCGTTACAGCAGCCACGTGATTCGCGCCCCGACTCCCCCCGACGGCTTTTTCCAGGCCGTTGCCGCTCTCGCGAGAGCTGCCGGGCCGCTCTGTTGTCTCGCGGTTCCGTGGATAAAGGAGCCGATCGAACCCCCCTGTATGTCGCGATCGGTCGCTGCGGTTCCGGCTGGGACAGCGCCGAAGCAGCGAAGCTCGGCGATCAAGGATCGTCCCAGGCACAGAGGTGAGGCTTGCTGGCCTGCAGTTCCCCAGGTTCTCCTTCCTCCCTTTGCTGTAAATGGGGTGGCGTTGCCCTTCTCGCAGTCCCTGGGGACTTCACTTACAGCCACAACTCAGTATGATGGAGGATGGCTCAGCATCCTCATCAGCTAGCTCTCTTAGGACCCTGGGGTGCACATCATCAGCCCCACGGACTCGTACACATTCAGTCTCATGAGGTGGTCTCAGAATTGCTCTGCCCTAACAGTGGGGGCGAGTTTGCTCCCTTCTTTCTCACCTAGAGGTTCAGGAATATGAAATTCAGGGATGTGAAAATTCTGGCTGCCAGCAAAGTCCAAGGCAAAGAACTCATTGAGTACCTCAGTCTTCTTTGCATCTGTTGTAGCCATTTCTCCTTTCTTATTTAGCAGGGGAGGCGCACTGCCTTTGGCTTGCCTCTTTTGACTTATCTACCTGCAGAATCCCTTCCTGCTGTTTTTCATATTCCTCTCCAAGTTCAGTTCCATCTGTACCAGGCAACATCCCTGTATTCTTCCCAAGTGAGACAGCCTTGCTTCCACTGTCTGTATGTATCCTCCTTTTCCCTCAGTTTGCCCAGCAGGTCCTTGCTGAGCCATGCTGGTTTCCTGCCTCCCCTGCCTGCCTTCTTACTCCAAGGGATGAGAACTCTTGTGCTCTCAGAAAGAAATCCTTAAAGAGCAACCAGCTTCTTCCACTCCTTTGTCACAAAGCACTTCCTCTCAGGAGATCTCATTCAACAATTCCTTACACAGCCTCAAATTTGCTCTCCCAAAGATCAGGGTCCTGACCCCACTCTTTGCCAGGCCCATGTTCCTTGAGATCACGAACTCAACAGGGCACAGTCACTGCAGCCCAGACTGCCTCTGATCTGAATATCTTTACCAATCTTCTCCGCGCTGGTGAGCATCAGGTTCAGCAATGCTTCACCTCTGGTCAGTCTGTCCACTAATTGAACCAGAAAGTTGTCATCAATGGACCCCAGGAGTCTCCTGCATTGCTGACAGTTCGCTGTGTTGCCTTGCTAGCAGATATCTGGGTGGTTGAAATCTACCATCAGGAGAACCTGTGAGCATGAAACTTATGTAGCTGACACAGGAAGGCCTCATCAATAGAATCTTCTTGATCAGGTGACCTGTAGTAGAGCCTGACCACCAGATGTCCTTTATTGGGCCCATCCCCATTTCTAACCTGCTGGGTGAGCCTGCTGTTTCCTAGAGTGACAGCATTCCCTGGCTCTTTGTCCCTCAGCAGTACATCACCTTCCCCCAGCAGCTCTAGCTGAAAGCCCTCGCAGTGAGCCCAGCTAGCTTGCTCCCTAGTATGTTCTTAACCCCCCGGATCAGTTGTGTCCCGTCTCACATTGCCATTCCTGGTTTGTCAAAGCTGCTACCTAGATCATATAAGCCATGGTCTTGTGCTTGTCATTACTCACATGACCAGTTGTTCAACTGGTCAGCTCTCCTCTGTGTGCCCAGATCCCAGTCTTCCACTGGAAGGACTGAGGAAAACAGAACCTGTGGTCCTGACCCCTTGAACATCTTCCCAAGGGAAGCAAAGCCCTTTCTGATATTTTTTAATCTCCTGGTTGCAGCCTCGTGTGATCCGACTTGAAAGACCAGGAGAGGGTAAATCATCATCTAGCTTTATCATAGTGGATGTGATATCAGATATCATATTGAATTCTGTTGTCTTATTGATGTCCCTAATGTGGGTCCCTGGCAGGCAGCAAACCTCTCTAGAATGATTCTTCTAGAATGGTTCTTCATTCTGGGCAGAAGATGTGTGCCTCAGTGCCCCTCCCATTACTAAGACCGTTTGCCTTCTTTTAGTGGCAACTGGTTGTGATTTGGGTCCTAGGTTGGGCTTTCTTGGTATCACTCCTTTCCAGTCCCAAGCTGCTATCCATAACTTCTTCTTTCTCCCACACAAGAGCCTGAAATCTATTATCTAGTGGGACTTCAGGAGCAATCTGTCCCTCTCCTGTCAGAGTGGAAGGGGAGGTGTCCCTGCATGGAAGTTATTATGTGCCAGCCAGGCAATTGGACCACCGTGGAGAGAGCTGGATGTGGTATATAGCAACCTGGACAATGAGCAGTTACCCAAACTCCAGATAGCACCAAGCACATGTGATCTGAGTAGTGGAAGTTTCTACAGAGTGCACTCTTGTCATATGCCACCCCAGTGGAGGTAACTGCATGAAAGTGCAGAGAGCAACAAAGAGTGAGTGAATTGGCTGACCATTTCCAACACCATGAAGAAAGCAGTACATCCTCCCTGCAGGCTTTCATCTCAGCTGTGCAGCAACTGTCCCATGATTTCCAGCAACTGAAAGAGAACATTTATTTCTCCCCACCAGTACCCATATCTTTGCCTAATCTTTGATTAGGAAGAAATCTTCCCCTTTGGAGGGGAGAGGATATAGACGGTACACACCACGTCCCAGTCTGTGGTTTCACCTGAACGACCATAGAATAAGGAGAAATGGGATGGAAAATTCACCTTCACCTTAGAGGCACAGTGTTGTGGTTTTGTTATTTTTGTTATCTATGTTCCACATCATCATATCGTGGAGTGCACTGGGAGTCTCAGAAGAGAGGAGATGTACTGAAACTTCTAGAAAACTCTGCTGTTCCGTTTTCATTTTCTGGTCAGTGGGAATGATAAAACTGATGGGAAGGCATGAGAGTTTCTCTTTTTGGTCCCTGGCTGATCGAAGTAAGAGCCTCGGTTTTCAGAAACTCTGTAAGTGAGTAATGAATACGATCAACAGAATTGGAGGGGTCCTGCCCCCAACCAGGTGGAGGAAGGGGAAAATTGGATTTACTAGACTGTGTGGATTCAATGTGCTGACACGTCAGACCCACAGGAATGTATGGCTCCAGTGGTCACTGGTGCATGGAGTAACTTAAAGCCACCAAGTCCTGCAGAGGCAGAACCCATCTGTATTTCCAGAGTGACAGTGGGATCCCAACAGCTAACTGGAAGGAGATCACCAGTCCTTGCACCATGCAATGAAGTAGAGATGGAGTATCGTGCGGATAGCTCAGCTGAGATTGTCAGATGAGTCCCTTGCACAAATACAAGAATATGGTTCACTTTTCTGTATGAGCAAGGTTCCCAATCCCTGTTGTGCATTTTGCATTGGCATCTCTTCCCATCTGGCTGTGAGCTTCATTCTCATTCTCTCCCTACCTCTCTCTTTCATATCATGTTTCTTTCCTTCAATAAAGGGATATGCAGACTCCATGATCTTTCCCTTCCCCCAAAAATAGCTTTGGCAGCAAAAGCGTGATAGGATTACCTTCCCACCAGACAGCACTGCAACATACTGCATGCCAACAGGCATTCACCAGCTGGGAACATCTGCTAGCCCAAGCACAGACGTTTTTGATTTACAAGTGCAAATGCTATTCCCCAGTATACAGGAGTCAGACAAGTACCAAACCACTCTTCAGAGCCAAGAAAGCTCTGGAGTTTAACAAACTTGTGCCCTGTGTTGCAAAGGATATATTTCTGCACCATGAGAAAAGAAGACAGCAGTCCTGCATACCCACCTCGCCAAGCTGTAACACAGGCAAGGATTATTCTTTCCTACAGGTCCTGTTCCCCTCAGCTGGGCACAGTGCCTGCAGTGCAGTACCTGCATTACAGCCAAGTGGCCAGAGCCCACAGCCACAGAGGGAACAGGTACAGCCAAAAAGCCGCTCATCTCACCCTGATGTCAGCAGCAGCCCAATGAATGGTGCTCACTGCCTTCTAACAAGAAAAGGCTCTGAGAGCAATCAGCTCTGCAGGACACATGCACAGAGTTTCTGTAGAAACTAATGGTCACTTCAGTACCGCAATGGCACAAACCAAGTTATGTGAAATTATCAAACGGCACTCATGCAAAAAGCAGCCCAGAAAAATGCTAGTGGTCTGTGAAGCACTGTTTCTGTTCTGTTCTGAAGAATGGAGGGAGCTGAAATTAACGTACTCTCCAGAAATGGGTCTGATAATTTTATTTCTCCTCTTGTCTGCTTCTCCTTCCATTTGCCTCCCTCAGCATATTTTCCCTTCTGGGGCCAATCTCCTGGCTATCCACTGGTATCCAGCTCAGACACAGAACAGGGAGCAGAGCCTACCTGTGGGCAGTCCCGTTATCAGGACTTCTGTGGGGACAGAGAGCTCCGAGCAGTGGCAGGCCAGATCAGAGATGTCTTCTGCACCTGGTAATGCAGCTCACATTGCACACAGAGCACAGTTCCAGAACTTGTTAGAGTCAGATTCAACACTTAAATTTGGGTTCCCAGCTGAGCTTCACGACATTCAGCCTACAACCTTTCTCACATACCGAGCAGTGATTTTGTAAAACATGTTTTGTGTCATCACAGAGAAATTCTGATATTTTTGAAAGGATTTAATTTCATATAGTCCAAAGAACACTCTGCACGTGAGACTTACTGCTGAAGTTCTTCCTGAGATACTTAGGAGAAATAATGGAAAGGAAAATCTAGAGATCTCTGCAGGAATGCTCTCCCAGTGCTCCAAGCATTAAGGAAAAGGTTCTCTCTGAACAAAGAGTCACAGAGTAAACCCAATAAATTGACCAGGGTTCCGTATAAATCATCAGCTCAGTTTGTGGCACACAGACACGGGTCAGATTCCCTTCCTCTGAAAGAGGACAACTATCTTGTCCCTGAGTTGTTTGGTTCTGACCCCATAAATGATGGGGTTCACTGTGGGGGGTACCAGTAGATAGATATCGGCCACCAATATATGGATGTGCTGAGGGATGCTGTGTCCAAACCGGTGGGTGATAGATGTGAATAAGGCAGGGCCATAAAACGCGAGGATGACACAGATGTGGGATACACATGTGTTAAAGGCCTTGAGCTGTGTGTCAGATGATGACAGCTTCAGTACCACCCCCAGGATCATAGTGTAGGACACAACGATCACTGTAAGGTCAGCTCCTATCACTGCCACAGCCACAGAGATGCCATAAGCAGCATTGACTCTGGTGTCCTCACATACCAGCTTCACCACGGCCATGTGTTCACAGTAGGAATGGGAGATGACACGATGCTGGCAGAAGGCCTTCCTACGGAGCAGGAAGCAGGCAGGACCCACCAGGAGGACTCCACGCAGCAGCACCAGGCTCCCGAGAGCTGCCACCACTGGCATGGAGAGGATGCTGGAGTGCCGCAGGGGATGGCAAATGGCAAAATAGCGATCCAAGGCCATGGCCACGAGCACGCCTGACTCCACACCTGTGAAGGTGTGGACAAAGAACAACTGAACAAGGCATGAAACAAAGCCAATCTCCTTGGAGCCCCGCCAGAAGATGATGAGCATTTTGGGCAGCATGGATGTAG